TTTCCCGCTTTCCGCGAGAGGTGGAAGAAAGAAAGAGAGGAAAGAGGACGCAAAGACGCTTACCCTCCGCTTCCCGCTTGCGGCTCGCCGTTACGGCGTTCGCCGTGTTCGCGCTCGGCTGCGTGCCGTTCGCGATCGCGGCACTCACCGCGGCAGCGGCGGCGGCGGCGGCGGCCGCCGCGGCCGCTGCCGCTCCCGAGTTCACGCTCACGGGGTTCTGCTGCTGCTGCTGCTGTTGTTGTTGTTGCTGTTGCTGCGCGTTCTGCAAGTAGCTCGGGTTCAACAGCGACGTGAAATTCCGCGACTGATTCATGACTGCTTGGCGTGGCGACGCCGTGTGCCGTACCGGACGTCACCCTCGCGTTGTCGTATGCGCCAACGACGTCAACTCCGACCGTTGACTCTCCCGACTCCCGACGGCAGTCGACGCCCAACCGGTCCAACTCAACGAACGACAGGCGAGAGGCGTTTACGATAGCGGGTTTACGCACCGAGAAAATGGCGAGACCCCGCCGATCTACGAGGGCCGAGGGCTGAGAGCACCGTTGGCATCAACACATCTCCATCCCGACGTATCGCGGCCGGACGTTAGCGGCAATAGTGGAAATAGTGGAATAGGGGCCGCGTATCACGTATCACCCCCTCCGGCCTCCGGCCGCGTTAACAACGGGCTGATTGGCGCGCTCGCGTCGACCAGCCAATCGCGACTTGGCGACGTGGGGCACTAGCAGGTGGCGCGGCCGACGGACGACGCACGAATCCAATAGGAAGCGTGGCGTGTTTTCATGTGTAGGACGTTTCTCCGTTTCTTCGACCTTGGACCAATCGCCGCTGAGAGCGAGAAGCGAGATTTTCAAAATGGCAAGCTGCGTTCTCAAGAATATCCTCACTTTTTCAGCTACGATTGGTCGATACTCTCGCCCGACGGAATACGGAATCGCGACAATCGCGTATCGCGTCTCGCGACGAATGGGACTCGGGCCGCTCGGACGCGGCGCGATCGCACGTTGGCGTGGAGTGGATTGGAGATTGGAGCTTGGAGGCTCCACGTCCAACATTTTTCCAATATTCCAACATTCCAACTTGGAACCGCGTGATGTAACGTGTAAACGCTACGTGCGTACTATGCTGAGGAGTGAGGCAGAGGCATATTGACGCGACGCGGTTGACGCCGGCGACACGACGGACGACGGGGCACGGGACTGACGGGTGAATCGGTCATCACTACGAGCATGGTGCGCGGCGTGCGCGTACGGGCGTCATGAACGGGATCTCGCCCTCGCGGTCGTAGAGTGTCGACAGTGTCGTCTGAGGAGATCGGCGATCGCTTCCTCTCGGTGGCCGGTGGATGGTGGATATGCACCGCTACCGCCGCCTGTCCTGTCTCGCGCGCTGTGCCGTCGACGATGATGCGATGACGAGTAAAACGACGACGACGACGACGATGATGCCACGCGACATCGGCGACATTCGCCGACAGTGAGATCGGCGATGCGGATGACAGCAACGACGACGACGACGACGACGACGACGACGACGACGATGCCGCGAGTGCAGAGCAACGATCGTGCCCGACGTGGAATCTGAATCGTACAACGTACATACGGTGTTCGCACCCTTTTTCGCGTCCCGCGTTCTCTGCGTTTTCCTTCGCCTCTCCGCGCGATCGAGACCTCGCCGTCGAGGCGCCGGCTGAGACGGAGCGGTCCCGGGCGCAATGGCAGCTCACAAGACGGGCGGGCAGAGCGCCCGTAAGAAAGTACAGGTATAATCCATTAATTCCTATAATCCGTCACCTGTCTGCTGACAGGCTTTCGATTCCCGCGTCGCCAACAACTTGCCCATCTTCTTGGCTGTTGTCTCACAAAAATGTGCTTTAAAATCTTCTTTACTACCCTCTTTCTGCTATGATACGGCATCGTATAAGACGTGTTTGTTTTCTATGTTAAGATTCTCTCTCTTGAAATACTAAATTTGTTATCATGTAAAAATTGTCAAGTATATTTGCAACATTTGCGTGCATTCATAAAAGATTGACAGTGATTTCATTACGTTCTCACAACGCGTCGTCAATGTAAATATAACGACAACAACTATATTACGTTCCTATAAATCATATACTATATAGGTGTCTATGGTTATAAGAGATGAGGTGGAGAAGCAGCACAGGGCAGGCGTCAATTCCTTGCAGTATGATCCAGCTCTGCACAGGCTATATTCCGCTGGTAGAGATAGCATCATAAGGATATGGAATTGCAGGAACATGAAGGAGCCATATATCCAATCTATGGAACATCATACGGATTGGGTTAACGACATAGTGCTATGTTGTAGTGGCAAAAATCGTAAGTGCGCCTTTACACACGATTCTTCGTTGACTTGATAAATTTTTATGTCATCACTTTTACTATTTAAATATATCTCATCTATATAAAATATAACGTATCATCTTCTGGCTTCTCCACGTTCTACCATCAGCTTATCTACTCGTAGCTTTGATTATGTTAATCGTCATCAAATCTGTACAGTTATATCTGCAAGTTCCGACACCACTGTCAAGGTATGGAATGCGCATAAAGGTTTCTGTATGTCCACTCTGCGCACTCATAAGGACTACGTCAAAGCATTAGCGTATGCCAAAGATAGAGAACAAGTTGCTAGTGCAGGTCTGGACAAGTCGATATTTTTGTGGGATGTTAATACATTGACTGCTCTTACTGCGAGCAATAATACAGTCACAAGTATGTACGCCTGACCATATATACATTTTTTTTTGTGCCTCATAATATGCTTGAAATATCGTGTTGCAGCGTCGTCCCTCAGTGGAAATAGAGACTCTATATACAGCCTTGCTATGAATCAGATTGGCACGATTATCGTGAGTGGTAGCACGGAGAAAGTTCTTCGAGTGTGGGATCCACGATTTTGTAGTAAACTCATGAAACTTCGTGGCCACGCGGACAATATTAAAGCATTAGTTCTGAATAGGGACGGGACGCAGTGCTTATCAGCGAGTTCCGATGGTACTATTAAATTATGGTCACTTGGCCAACAAAGATGTGTGCAAACATTTAGAGTTCACAAAGAAGGCGTATGGGCGTTATTGGTACGTACATGTACACGTATATACGTATACACAAGTTGGTCATTGTTTTACAAACTGCCATACATGGTGCGGTAAACGCTGATGTGTGTTTTAGGCAACGGATAATTTTAGCCATGTAATATCTGGAGGCAGGGATAAGAGAGTTGTAATGACAGAATTAAGTTACGCAGAGAGATATACAGTTATTTGCGAAGAAAAGGCACCTATACTCAAGATGGCTATGACGCCAGATCAATCTAGTATTTGGGTTGCCACCAGCGAATCAACCATTAACAATTGGGTAAATAAAATCTCATAAAAAAATAAAACGTTTCATTAAAAAAGAAAAAACGTAAATTAAAACAAAACGTAAAATTTCAGCCAATAAGCCAAAAAGATTGGCAAGAGTTAGGAATTGGAGATTGTTGCGATACCGCAAGTAATGTATCGGGCAATATTTTAAAAAACATCGAACCTGCACAGAAAATACTGGGTGGTCCTGCTATAAGACATTATAATATATTAAATGATAAAAGACACGTGTTAACAAAGGATACGGAAGAAAATGTTGCGCTATATGACGTATTAAAGGCATGTAAAATAGAAGATTTAGGCAGAGTCGATTTTGAGCAGGAGTGTAAAAAGAGAAATAAAATGGTGTATGTTCCAAACTGGTTTAACGTCGATCTCAAAACAGGGGTATGCATTTCTTTGACAACGCGGTGCTTTCGAGAACTAGGTCAGTTCTAACGTTCCTTCGTCGTTGCAGATGTTAACTATACATTTAGGGCAAGACGAAAACGATTGCTTCTCTGCATGGGTTTCCGCCAAAGAGACCGGTTTAGCGGAGAACGATGCTGTAGATCAAAAAGGTGCGTAGCTTTTTCAACAGTGATACTCGTGGCATGGATTCGAGACGTTAATAGTTAATATACTTGATATTTTTAGTAAATTATGGGAACCTCCTGTTGCAAGCGTTACTCGAACACTGGTGGAGACCGTTACACGCTGATGACGAGAATGAGGGTAATGGCAATGATGGAAACGGGCCTATGCACACGAGAGGAGGAAATCCATACTTCTCAGTTCCTAGTCATACACCTGTCATTTTCAGGTATGCGAAGCGTGTTGAGAGTTTCATTGACTAGACTATAAATATTATCATATTATTTTATTTTTCAGCGAAGTGGGAGGTAGGACCATCTACCGATTATTGGTTCGAGATGCCGCGGGAGAAACTGAGGGTGTCCTATTGAACGAGACTGTACCGCCATGGGTGGTGAATATCGTCGTGGATAAGAATCTTCCGCAATTCATTAAAATACCTTTTTATCTTCTTCCACATGCCTCTTCAGGTGTAAAGAGTTTGAAAAAGTATGCCGCGCACCTTCGAATCTCTAAATCGCGCGATGATATACGATACGCGTGAATAATCTTGTGTGTTATTATTTTCAAGGGATCGTTTGATAGCAAATGATTTTATACAAGTGCGTAAAGTGGCCGAACATGTTTACGATAAAGTGCTCGGTGCAGGAAGCGACTCAGGTTCAGTGGCTGGCGGTGGAAATACAGTTTCCAGCGGGTCTCCGGCAGGCGATAGGACCAACACAGATTCCACGGCTGATACGTCTTCGCTGGCCGAGGAAAAAGTTGAACTCTTATGTAACGATCAGGTCTTGGATCCTTCAATGGATTTGAGAACGGTATGTATCAAACTGAATAAACTTTTTGTACGCGTTGAGAAAATGTTTTACGCGTGTGTTTCTCTGTTTCTCAGGTTAGACATTTTATCTGGAAAAGTTCGGCGGATTTAACACTTCATTATCGTCCTGTTAAATAGTTGGGATTAACTACCGTGCATCATGAATCTTTACAGTGTGCCTGGTTTTATACCATGGTAACGTATGCTACGTACACTTTTTTTCTTTCTTTCTTTCTTCATTGATTTAGTTTAAAAGAAAGTCAACATTAATCCGTTTCAGAATAGTGGAAAATACATGGGCTACTTGCAGAATATGGTACCTTGTACCACCTTCTTCTTAGGAAATGATCACCTGGATTTAACGAATGTTTCACGTGACGTTGAAGCGGGAGCGAAAGAAAGCGAGGCGTATTTGGAGTATTAGAGAACATTTAGTTCCAAGGCAATAATGTGTAAAAGTATTAATGTAACGTGCTCACTTTTATACACTTGCATCCTGCGGCCAAATTCACACAACGGGGAGCATTACTCGATTAATCTGCTTGAGAATATCATGCTTTTTGTACCTGGATATAGAATTTAAAGTGCTTGTTGTCAGCCATATACCGTCTTCCCACCTCAAAAAGTATCAATAAGAACGCAACAAAGCACAAATGCAACAAAGAAAAGGGGAATAGACCGCATGGCAGAGAAACGTGTTGGTTCTGTTAGGTCTAATGTGGACCCAGGTGATCCTCACAAATGCTTTTTAAATTTCCTTTATTAATTTTATTTTAGCGGTATTTCGTACGCGGTAGGATCGTCTTCTTTTAGTATTGTAATAAAAAGTATTGAATATATTTATTGAGGGTATAAGAAATTATACACGGCGTTTTGTTATATGCATGCATGCAAAATGTGTACTCCACACCTGCCTTGTTATATTAGAGAGCAAGAAAAACATATACATAAAAGAGAGAGGAGAGATATGTCAATTTATCATTAATCAAATTATATTTGAATAGCCAAATTAGACAAGTTCAATATTTCCTATTGTTCATATAGGAAATAAGAGAATGTATTTGTCTGCAATGTAATAAGATCAAATTCTGTCCTGACCTCGAAGGTAATAAAATATAAATGTGGGATATATATGCATGTTTAACACACACACACACACACCAAAAATTAAATTTTGTAAGATATAAATACCATTGATAATATAATTATTATCAAAGAATATATACAGTATTCAACAGAATTTGATCTTTGAAAAGATTTATGATGAATAAAAATGTAGTTGTTTTTAAGTTAACATTCAATTTTTTAAATTATTATAATCTGTACATACGAACACGACTGTGGATACTGTCCATTAATAATAATAGTATGCTGTGTGAATAAAAATTTAACAGATCTTCGTGTGCAAACAACTCTGAGCCAATATTTGCTATTACTGCAAAGAGTTAAATTTAGGAAAGAATGTGTACTAGTTTATAATATGCTCTGTGAGATACAATATTTGTTTGCGTTATTAAAATTGTGCATGCATGAGAACACGTTTATAAATGTAAATATTTCGTTATACTATAAAGTAATCAATATTTATATAAAATATATAATTTAATATAGAAAAGAGCGTGCATCGCGCAGCGATATTTGAATAAAGAACTCTGTTGCTACTTAACGCGCTTAGTACGTTCGTTAAACCACAAATCTTTATATACGTTCACTGAGAATACTTTCGGCAGCTTCTACAAAAGAAGCGTATACTTTCGCTGGTCCCGGAGTAATCGTATTCTCATCCCCTGCTCTGTATTTGCCAGTTTGTACCAGAATACCTTTAATCCCAGCTGCTTGCGCACCAGCTACGTCGTCTCTTACATCCTACGGACAAAAAAAAAAGAAAATTGTGAGCACAAAAACGTACAATAATAATACATAGAAAAAGACGATGTCATTTGAAACCGTACATCTCCAATCATTATAGCCTGTGCTGGATCTGTTTCCCCTAAAGCTGCCTTGAAAAATCCTATGGTCGGTTTACCAACAACTTCTGCTTTTACATTGCTAGAATACTCTAATCCTTTGATAAACGCCCCAGGACCTAGAGCTAGGCCATCGGGGCGCTTGTAATATCGTCCTTCGTGAATGGCTATGAGGGAAGCACCATTCAAAAGCAATCTAAAATATCGCACATATGTCATACGTTGCTTAGAGACGAAAGAGAAGATGTGAGACTGGCAGACTACCTGAATGCTTTGTTCAGCTCGTCATAATTGAATTTGCTCGGTGCTAAGCCAATCACCACTGCATCAGGCGTATCATCTGTTGCTAAATCTTGGAAATCCTCCATCGCTGCCGGATCAATTAACAGCAAGGGCTTCAATCGCCGAGAGATAATTAATCTCCTCGCCGCCGCAAGAGAACTAAAGATTTCCTCTTTTCGCAAGTCAAATCCAAGTTTCGTCAGACGCTCGTACAAATACGTACTCGACTCCTTGGTGGTGTTGGTGACAAATTTAATCGATAGGTTTGCATTTCGTAGTCTGTAACGTGAAAAAATATAACGTCGTGGTTCCCCAAAGAGTCAAAGGATACGCTTGATAAGAGTTTAATGTTTGATTAACCGCAACAATTAATTCACGAAAAAAACCTTGATTTTCACTGGTTTGATGTCATCGAGATATTTATTAAATAAAAGTAGATATTAACGTAGTCACGAAAAGCTGTCGTTAACAAATAACAGGTTTTTTTAAAATTAAAATCAGCCCCGCTAACAATAAGTGAATTTTTATGGAAAACAAGTAGAAATTTAAAATTAAACCGCTCGTTTTCACAGAGCGTGCGCTGTAACCGGTTATTACTTTGTTTAAGTAATAAAACATGAGTTTGCAAGTTAAATACTAAAAAGAAAAACAGATCTAACCTGCTTAACGCTTGTACGGCACCTGGAATAGCCGTGTTATCGATATGTAACGTTCCGCTAAGGTCTATCAGCACCGTCGTGATTTGTCTAGCCATTATTATCCTTATTACATTAATATAATTTAGTGAAATTTATCATCTTGTGCAGATTTGCTGTTGCGTTGCTATAGGTTATAACTTGTGGTTATATCAAGTGTTTCTGTTCTTTGCACTTAATGATTTCTGCACTTAAAGTGAGATAACATCACTGGCGGCTGGCGGGAGAAAGAGAAAGAGAAAAGACGAACAAGTACAAAAGGTTCAACTACACTACTGAACTACAAAGTACAACGTATACGAAGCCCCTCCGCCCCCCGGCCCCTGCCAGCAGGCTGCAGGCACGCGGCTTCGGCGAACTCGCAGTTGCTTGTTCTCTTATTTATCTAGTCATCGTCGTCGAATGATACATATTTATTACGTGTCTCGACCATTGTACGTATTGTACGTTATTAAATGTCACGTCTTTTCTCGACTCTTGTACGACTGGAACTTAAATCATAAAATAAATCATTCCGGTTAGACGAGGTTAGACACGTGGTGAGAAGCACGTGGGTCGGTCCGGGCCGGTCAGGGCCGGTAGCGTGGCACAGAAGTCGTAAACGTCAGCGGGTATGCCGAGTATGGTTCTGTCCGGGAAACACGACGGTATAAAGCAAGTGCCTTGGTTATCTCCGTAAGTATTTATTGACGAGATGAGATTTTTCGACGGGAGGGGTGGACACGGGACACGGACGAATAATCGATTTGTTGAACCCAAGGGCAGAATGGCACGACGTGTACAGGCAGATTTATTCCAACGACCCGGTCGAGCAAGCAAAGGCCTACGAGGCGCTTTTAGCGTGGAAAGCCAGGTAATGCACAGTCGTGTTACTCACGTGAAGCGTCGAGGTACTTACTGAGATCCGTGTTATTCGCAGGATGCCGAAGCTACCAGTGGGCGTGGACTGCACTCTGTCAATTTTACAAGTGTGCCTCCGCGATCGCGAGTGGACGTCCAAGATCGACAGTGGCGAGCTACCGATGTACTGCGAGAACGACCTGAGCTTGATGTACTCGACCACGATAATGAGATTCTTAAACCACTTTTCCAATATAGGCCATACAAAGCAGACGTCCATGTTTAAGATCGCCAGCCAACTGAAAATCCCAGAGTGGATAGTCAAGTTGAGACATGAGACTGCCCACGGATACGAATTGCCCTCCATTGGAGTGTTGAGGATAGCAATTAATATATTGCTGCATTGGCTGCATGTATGTCTCTACTGTACGCTGTAATCTGTAATCTGTACGCTGTGTTGTGACGTCTTGTGAAATATTATCTTTTAAATAAAGGACGAGTATTGGGCACCTGAGGCACGCACAATGGAAAAATGTTACGTGAAAAAAACTGATGCGTCAGAGGAGGAAGAAGAATCCGAAGCACAGGATTTTACAGATGTGATCGAACTTTGGACAGCTGTTGGTTTATATGTCAACGCTGGTTATAACGTAGTATCGGATTTACCAGAGATACAATTACGGTAATTTTTTATTGCACGTCAGTCTATATGTCCTTGATATGAACGTATATAAGATCTGGTTAAATTAATTTGTCAATATTATTCCTCGCAGGGAAATATTGCAAGATTTACGCACATACATGCTGACTCAGTATAGAAATAAAACTTCAAACAATGACGAGAACGAATATATATCCGTTCACAAAAGAACTATAAAAATTGATAAAGAATATAATTTGCAAACTGCACAAGCACTACTTTTATCTAAGATATCTGTGGATCTAAATGAATCGTCAGGCACAATGCAGGAGAAGAGCGACGCAATTTGTAACGCGTTATGCAAAAATGAAGCTTTCCTACCAAATTTAGATATCATGAGAATTTTTCAACGTAAAGAAAAAAAGAATACTAATTTGAAAAGAAGGATACTGCCGCCCGCGATACTTTTATTCTGGAAAGATATCATTTTCTTGTTGCATGAGAAAGAGATGTTAGAGACGCTGCTGTTCAAGTTGCTTAATATCGTAGATCAAGAACGTGAAACGAAAGAAAGAAGAACGCTCGCCGCCTTATGGATAAGTTCCACCTTCTATAGTTTTGTTCAGCTGAACATCGTCCAAGATATTTCTCGTACCATGGAATATCACGTACAGAAGGCAGAAAGAAAATTAGACACAAAGACTTTAAGTCAACGTCTCAAAGAACGCATACACTCTAAACATCCATATTTACGGAATGTCTTGTGGTTAGACATATCAAGTACCATCCCGCACTTTCTTCTCGATATAAAATTTTTATCCAGCCTTTTACTAAATGTCAACGACGTCTCCGCAAGATTGATAGAACCAATTTTAAAGTTGCTTACATCGAAAATAGGTGCGCAAACAAAAAGGCATTTGTTAAATTTACTTCAAATTTATACATTCCAAAAGCATGACAGTGAGGATGACAGCAACAATGATGTTGATAAGATATTTAGTGTCCAAGATCTTAATCCAAGTCCAACAGAAAATGAGGTGCAGATGGATAAAATAAAACGTGCAACTAAAAAGAAGACTGCTCCTTTGTTGGCAGACCAAATAATCCGTAATTCACATTGGAAATCAGCACATGGTATACACTTACAAACGAGTTTTTCGAAGGCTTATATAATAATTTGAAGGATCAATAATACGTTTTTTTTTAAAATATGATTTTCAGATACGTACCAATGGATTGGATGTCCCATTGGATTACTACCGTGGCAGGTAGACTCGTTGAAAAGTATGGAACCACTCAAACTAAATCCATCGAGACACTCTGTTTCGGTTCTGGATTCTCAAATAGTCGCTGGTATTATAAACCGTAAGAACTTGAAAATGCAAAGTCGTATTAAGTGGGACGAAGTATTACGAAAAAAAAGGAGAATAGAGAAGAAACGTAACACGGGTGTCGTGGATGTTATAATGAACAGAGCACTAGAGCGTGCCAAAAACCAGACGTAATGTAGATATGAACTTATTGTCTAATAGGACATTGTCGTCTATTGCTTACGTCAATAAATAAATGTTTAGTATATTTATAATAAAATTTATAACAAAACTGTCTACTTTTGAAACATGTTTATATATCAGCGATAAATATAAAGTTTAATATTAAACATAGAAAAAATAATCTGTAGTACACATACGTCACAGAGAGAAAGTATATAAAAGTATTTCGCTATGCCGTTGAACGTCGTCGCAACAAAATTGTAGACATTGATAACTATATCCACTTAAATTATTTATCTCTTTCCCTGACATATACGTATCACACCATAACAATCAAATATATTAAATTACTCAAGTTATGTCTATGTATAAAAGTATTAAGTTCTCTTAGTATCACAACATATCCAAGCACCATCGCTTCGCGTTAGGTTGAAGAAAAAAGAATAGAACGGTCGATGTTCAGATCGCTACGCTAAGGACATACATTTTGTAGTTTCATTTGTTTATCGTTGCATAAAATTTAGCTTATACAATTTACATAAACGCATATAATACACATGCTGTCTTTGGTTTTGAAAAAAATTACACTTTCGAAGGAAATAAAAAAACGCTAAGGTACGTATTGTATTTCAGAAAGAAAAGCTAAGTTGATCAGTGGTTTTCGTTTTTCTGAGCACTTGTTGCAAATTTTTGCTGGTTTCTAAACCGAACACATTCAAGGGTAGCCGAGACATTACTGCTATTCTGGAATTAATACGTGTACGAAGTGAGACGAGTAGATCACAGAGTTGAGATCTGGGATAAAATAAATAATCATATATTATGTGCTTCGCACACGGCTTACCTTCCACCGGACATATTGTAAAGGAATCTCCAATAGGATGATCTCAAGTTTTGTGGTTCCAGTATAGCTACGTGGAAGAGAAGTGCCGTGCTACAGCAATATAATAAGATGACGAACCACTTTATTTCAGGTACCATCTCATTTTCCACTGCATCGTTCCACAGCAACTGAAATAGAGAGCCGGTAATGTTACATCATAATTTACCATGTATCATGAATATACTAATAGTCAATAGAATGTGTATTAATAGAAATACATAATACCTGTAGTGTCTTCCACATAAAATATAAGGCTATAGTAGTATTAGGATATGCCATAAACGTTACGCTTGCAACAAGTCCAGCAGGAATAGCGTAAATGTGTGAATCTTTGTGGAAGGTTCTTCTTAACATGCATGACACTAACTAGATAAGAAAAGAGAACGAATGGTAACCAAAAACACGTATGAAAGATCGTACAATATTATTTGATACTACGTCTATAATTTGCAACAAGTATGCAGAGCAAGATAATGTACCCTGTAAAGGCCGGCAAATCCTCCAAGAAACACACCCAGATTTACATTTTCTCTTTGAAAGATGGTGGTTTTTAATAATTTCGGCTTCTGAATTAATCTTTTAAATTGTAAGATTAGTTTAAGCGCTATTTGCCCGCAAACGCCATAACTGAAGAGCCTAGCACTATCCTTTAAATGAAAGAAAAAAAAAAGTAGTTTTATATACATCGAAATATATAGAGTATCTATCTAGAATCTAGAACATTTCTATATTTGCTGTTCTCTCACCGCTAAAATGTAATGTGCGCAGCTATGAGGATGTGGACACGAAACATCCTTACTTTGTGCCTTTAAGCTGTTAATGATGTATTTGTATGCCTCAAAAGACTTCCATAGAATACTAAATTTATGCCTTGCAGAACTTCTACGTATACTTGTGCCACTCTGTGCGCCGCCAGTCGTGGTATGTCTTGAAGATGTTTCAGGATGTAGGTTTTTCTTCGTAAGATGATCAGTTTCTTCATACCGTCCAACAATCATCCTGTTTTTTTTTTTAATTCACACATTATAAACACACGATACAGAGATAAATACATCGAGTACACAACGTCGGATATATACCTTAATATTTTATATATCTGATCGTGCTTCGTCGTCTTTGAACGGAAGAAATACAGTAACACAGCTACGCTTACAGCAAAGATATAGACCTCTCCTCTTGGAATAGGCGAGAAATATCCTCGCCACACACCCATTTTGAACAACGTTTCCGTTGCCTGGAAAAAGACGATATGGATAATGTATATTAATAATCGTTTTTTTTTTTTTTTTTTTCTTTTTTTTTTTTTTTTTTTTTTTACTGTTACAACATTTACTTACAATGTTCGACACGTAGAGACATAATAACGTACGTCTAGACGCTCTTTCTATCACAATGGCAGTTAGGCTAGATAAAAAGGACGGAAGGAAAGATACAGTCGGCATATAGAAACGTCCAAGCATTCGCCTGAAACACAAATATCACGTATGTCTTTCAGTGCTCATATATTTAATGTTTTTTCTGAGTTTCCCTAGAAATTCTAGCTTTATTGAGTAACCATATTGATTATTTCTTACCTTAACAAACAAATAAACAACGAATAAGAGAAACCACTCCACGAAAGAAATGCCGTGGACTGAAGGATACCCAATATAGTTTTCTTGATGTCCTCTTTCGACGGTACTTTTCTTCTCATTAAAAATGCAATCTGGAATGACAAGAAAATCAGTTTTCAAAAATTTTATGAATATTTAACTAGACGTATATTTGCATCATCATAAATTATATTTATATTATCGCAACCATACGTCGCGTCGCGTTAAAAAAGAAACCTGTAAAAAAATCATTTTTCAAAGTTAAAATTTCCACTGTTAATTTTTACGATTACGTATCGTTCATAAATATTCGATAAATCTACGTTGCACATTCTTATTTCATTTCCTTCTTATCTATTTCAACCAACATTTTAATTACGAAGGTCGTAGTTTGCACGTATCTGTCGCGCTGACGATAATGGGTCATTTATTTGCATCGTAACGTGTACTTTTTAATGAGTCTTATTAGGGATAATGGCATAGCACTACGTACAGAATATAATTACAAGTAGACTAGAAACGTGACAAACTTATAAATAGACGCACGCACGTCACGGCTTCACGCGATAACGGAACAAAGGTAAATAATATATCGTATGTTTATAAAGTCCGTACGATTATACGAATATCAAATGCCGAAGTCTCTTTGGCACAACGCAGGTGCTTGTTCGCTTAAAATAATATCTATCGAGAATATCGCATATTCTTAAAATGCGAACGAACGCAAAATGTATACAAAAATACACCATGCCATACGCATACAAGTCTCAAGCTTTTATATCGACATACGTTGTGTTCTTCTCGAAATTTATATGCTAATTTAATTTTGAGTATTTAAATTGCATTTTTTAAAACGTTCGTTTATATAGTCAGATGTCTTCTCATGGTAATTTATTTTTCGACACTTTTTCTTCGAATGGCTACATAAAGAATGAAAAGAAGCGAGTGTATAAAAAAAAGTAGTTGAAAAAGATGCGAATGTGTCGTACGACGTTCTCAAGGCCTTGCAAATGAAAAAGTCAACAATATTCATGACCCGAGGAAACGGACATGAGTTTACGCCTCGTCGATGCAAGGACGAGGTGGACGAGGTTAATTATTCTATAATCGCCATACTCGCTCTGTAATGACTGTACGTGTGAATTCGAAGCGATTTAAACCAAAGAATCATCGACTTAATCGACTTTTTTCTCTACATTCCGCGAGGTTTATACTCGTCAAAAGTCGAAACGGCATTCGGCATTCGGCGTCCGCATATTTCGGGACGGGTGCACTGGGATGCACTGGGATGCACCGAGATGAGTGCGCGTAGGTGCATCCACACTCAGCCGCGAGCGCATCAGGGATCAGGGCCATCAGGGCTCGTCGCAGTGCATTCGCACCGGACGAACCCGCGCGTCCACGTCCACGGGTCACACCGCGCGCTGAGTGCAAACGCACCGGCCAACAGCGTCACGGCCATGAAGCCATCACCCATCACGGCATCTGTCTCGAAAGGGCGGACGCGCGGTCCCCGAAAAAGGATCGGCCGATCGACGACGAAACGTGGGGACTGGGGAACGCACCCCCGCGCGCGCATCCACGGCTCGGACACTCGCGAACAACCCCCATCCCGACGTGTCGGACGGGAAAACGGAAAGAGAGAGAAATACAAGTGCGTTGACGCACGTTGACGTACGATGTAAACGGTCGTGTATATCCTGAGGGATTCCTGCAGGGAGTGCAGACCGAGACCGGCGGTCGCGCTGATGCAGGAGTCCGTCCATGGGTGAACGTACGCCATGCAAGGCGCGTCAGACGAAAACTTGCTGAGTCGCGCGGGCATTTTCACTGCGCGTGACAGCACGTGACCAACGACGACGACGTTAGCGTAACACGCCGCGCGACGCGCGTGATGTCACGATGGTCACGATTATTGTTCGGCGCCGCGACCCGCGACTAAATGCGGCGCATTTCAGGTTTGAGGGAGAAAGAGAGATAAGGTCTCTTTCCTTCTCCGCGTCCGTCGCGTCCCGTTGACTCCAGCTGACTTGGCTCGGGAAAATCGGACGAGATACGAGATCAATGAAGAGGCGGCATCTTATCGTCCCCGTGTTGACATCACGTGGTGCCGCGGTCGTTTGGATCTAATCCAAAGGTTATATCACCGACGCCAGAAGGGAAGCGGGGAGAGGGAAAGAGAAAGGAAGAAAGAGTGTTTTTACGCCTTTTAATGGTGGATGAAATGCGCCACGAGGTCACGCGACCGACGACCACTCACTTTCGTGTCGACTCACCGAGCGACCGTCGACGACTGACGGTAGTGACGGTAACGGGCAACGGGGTCGGGTATACGGGGTACGGGGTAATAGAGCGGGAGTGTTACGAGCAGATGCGCTCGCGCTGTACGCTCCACGTACATACATACACGCTTGGTCATCGAGCCGCGCTCGAGGGCTCGAGCTCGAGTGTGTAATGTGTATGTGTGTGTCATGTCAGCTGACAGCTGGTCGGCTCACGCACGCGGTACGACGCGGTACGACGCCGTCGACGCCGTCGACGCCGTCTTTTCCCGCCTCTCCTCGTTCCTTTTCGCTCCGCGTACGATATCTATTTTCCTCACGGTGGCCAAAAGTCTTGGAGACGCGAGTCTGAACGTAGGCACTCAAGTCTATAAACGATTTAATCACGTCATTTCATTTAACACGTTGATAAATCAAGTTAAGGCTTGAAGGATTTGATAGATTACGTGCAGAAAAGCGCTACGTAAAATTTATTCCGTGAGAACGTAATAGCTTATCAAGCGGATGGTGAAACACCGCGTTACGTAAAATGCGTATAACAGATGATTCTCGTCCCGGCCAAAGTACATGCACGCATATACCTATATTCATATACGCACGTAGCAAGTGTATACTTGACTTGACGCGCGGCGCGGCGTAGCGTCCAGCCGCGCTAGATAGTACGTCGCGTCGCCGCGAAGACGAATAAGACGATAAAGACGATAAATAAACGATAATATATGCATGCACGTATATATTATATACATATTACATATAATTATCGCACAGTTGAAATGTTTCTTTTTTCAAATTTCTTGGCGAGATTACGCTCCCTTATCTATATCTATATGTTGTCTTACGACCTACGAGAGAGATAAGACGTATACGTTCTTTTTATCGACTTTTTGTTACACGCCGTGAACGTGTCGAGAGAAATACGTCGGATAAGTTGTGCGATATAAATTTATGCGATAGTGGGATAAGTAATCTCGTTTTTCTTTTTGCCTTTTCATAATACAGTCAAAGTCAGCATTGAATATAATTCACACGTCACGTTAAATTTCAGCAGATTCCATATACATATATCCGTCGTTTTACACGTTTTTTCACATTTGCTTACGTCTTCTTCAGTTCAGATGTTTCTCGCACGTGCACGGCACGTAAAAGCTATACGTAAGCGTCATTCATTCTATATGTATTCTATTCTATTCTGTATTTTAAATTATGAATTGTAGATTATATCTCAACTGCGCTTCGTCGTCCATCTCATCGCTTCCAATGACAAGCAAGTAAGATATACAGCCGATAAGTGTTTAGCGGAATGCATGTATAATTTATTTAATATCGATAACGTATTCGTAAATAGATTATCTATTATCTGTTTTTATCGCGCACCGCGCAACGAGTTATAATACGAAAAACAAGCGATGACCCTTGATCATCCAGCTCGATCAACAGACGATCCAGATTAGGTATCCGGAAGCGCGTAGATAATATCGCAGGATATATTTTAATAGCTATATGACGTACGAGGTTCGCGAACGTGTCGTATCGTTGCGGACGTTGCGTCACGTTGCGTTTACGATTTCGCAGATTACCCAGAGACAGACACGGAGAAAGTCTGTCGAGAATCGCATTCTACAAAATGCAGACTATGCCCAGAGTGCAGAGCTACAAAAATCTTGTCAATAAAAAGGCTACAGCGACGTGAATGCTGGTGTTCCAGGCTCTGGCTTTTGCAACGCTGCTGGCAGAAATATATGTAAAGCGTGTAAATAAAATATAATGAAAATATCGGCACGAAAGATCAGGCAGACTCTCACGTGCTTGCTGCCTGATGCACCGGTGATTCCGGTTTCTGCCGCTCATCTACTGTCCCGACTGTCTGATCGCTGTGCCAGCGCGCGAGCTCCATTCGTTTCACGGAATGTACTTATGTACTTGTACATTTTGCCCGTGCCGATGATACAAAAAGGATTGATTAACTAGAAAGGAAAAAAACAGTGAAAGAACGATACGAGCTAACAATACGCGAGCGTTCTTCATCGCGCGTTCTTGCACGTTCCTCCGCTCGCCTTGCGAGTTGCGAGCAGAAACGAGTATAATGTAAGGCGCGGCGTTTCAAGATCCCAAGATCCCGGTCATCTCGCAGTTATCGTAGTTAATGTAGTTATCTAGATTGAGAAACAGTTACGTCAGTTACAGGAAGAGAGCCGAGTCTAACGGAAGACGTTCGCGTATGTGTTAGGGCACGCGAGAAACGACGCGCATTTCTATTCGGGCTATTCTATTTACGCGATTCTCCAACTCTAACAAGAGAGCGTGTACGGCTTTTATCGCCAAGTACGCGGACTCTGAATAAAACGACTTGGAATTTAATCAGACTTGAAAAAGACGACGTAATAAAGCTCCCTAGCTTTGTTAACTTGACGATACATACATATACATTTGGCGTAATCTTTTATTTATCGCACGTTAAAGCATCGGGTTAAAGTGTCAACGTGGTCGTATAGATAGATCTAGAATATGATTTGAAAGTGCAATGGTCGTTAGGTATGTATGTACATACATATCGCGTTTAGATAAAGATACGTGCGCTACAGCATCTTTAAATCTTTTCTTTGCTGCTGCTGCTGCTGCTTCTCAGAGATACCAGTGGCGCCATCTGCACGTCTCGCGCGCAACGCGTTCGCTAAAAATGTCGATAACACAAATCGAAAGCAAAACAATAAGATTAGCCCAGTCAATAGAGCCCGAAAAAGCCACTGAAATGGAATTAATTCCATTTAAATGTCTCTATTGACTGGGCTAGATAAGAAAATCCCAATTTGCTGAAAATTAATTGCAAAGTTAATTGACTCCCTTCGCGGCGTAGAAACGCGAACGAGTGTACGTGATATATCGGCACGATAGTAAACAGAAGTAGAAGGTCATTTATAATTAAATTATTGAATACTTCATATCTTACTTTTAAACGACTGGATTTGATATTTAAATCCGTATAACTTGTAAAGAAAAAAAAAAACCAGAAGATTAGAGTCATAAAATTTTTTATGTACGTTTAAAGAGTAATGTACATTGAGGTTAATGTTAACCTCGTGTGTAATGTTTCTCAGTGAATACGTTTACATTTAGCGAATATCAAGCAGTATCAAATGGAAACGATTAATATGACGTGTAAACATTATAAATAATAAGGCACGCAATAACGGATTTAACGTTATAGCGGCTGTAAACTGTGGCTCCAAACAAACTCTCTTTCGCCCCCCACTAAATAATAATTTATTGATTTAAAGTATTTATTTAAATCAAAGTAGAATGATTATAAATATATCATTATACTTCAACGTCCTGAGCTCGTTTATTTTATACGTAAATCGGGCTGCAAATGATTTATACAAAATGATTAATGATTATTACAAAAAATGAGAAGATTATAGATATATGTTAGAAGAATGTATGTACGTTCAGATCTACTAAGCTTTCCTTCAAATCTTGCGTATAGATTGCGTGCTTGCTTTTCTTTCTTAGGTGGACCACGATATCGAGCGGCACGGTGGGGAGGAGTCGCTGTTAATTTGGGTTCCGATTGGATGTATAAGATAACAGGTAGTTTTCCGTAAGATAAGCTTGTTATGTCTTAATGTCTTGTTATATATAAAGACGGCTCAAAGTGAACGTGAATAGTAATGAAAGAACAGAGGATATTGTCATACGCTGCAGCGTACGATCGAATGAGTAATAGTTGATCGTATCATTCAATCCTTATCAGCAGCATATTCCATCTGCCGCTTTGACATCATCAGGCATCGCCGTGAACACATAAGAAAAGCTCGTAAGTTTTTAATTCTCGACAAGTTGTTATCTTTACAAGTTGTTATCTTTGTTAATTACGTGATCCGCACGTTTCCTTAATATGGCTGTTAATAATGCACGCGACGTGATGCGAGACTAACGTAGATTTCTAATCGATCACGAGAGATGTAAAATTTTATTTATTTATTTATTCTATTGATGTCGAGATACCTGAGATACAACGTGTGACACATGATGATCATATTTTATAGCATCAGTAATAAAAGAATATAATATAAATGTTTCATTATTATATGTTGACTGACAATATTATTAATGATTACTTTTTTTTTCTTTCCAGATCCTGTACCGAAAGTTTTACCGAAAAGGAAAACGATCAAATAAAAAAACGGAGATTCCTGAAATTCTTTTCACGTGCCCATTTATTCATATTACATTACGCACGAAGCAACCATGAAGATGTCTGTTGGTCTGAGAACATCAAGTTTCGCAAAATTAAATCGCTGTGTTCCGTGGAATCTAAACGTGCGCAAGTATGGTGAGTACGGCCTGTTGTAAATGTCATTTTGTTTGTGATAAACGTGCTTTGACCATTTAATATTCTTAGCTTTTTAAAGCTGTTTTACGTTCGTAGACAATGTGTGAAACTAACTGATTAATTCTTGTTAATTTTCTTGGAAAAAAAAGCAAGTTATTTATCGTTTTAAAACGTGTACCTATCGAATCTGTTATCAATTAAAGATATAACATTTATATATACAAGCGTACGTAATCCGATTAAAAGTTTCAGAATTAAATAAAGCTAACGGAAATTTTCGAAATACAGCGTCTACGTAAAACACATAAAAAATGGTACGTTAAATTACAATAACGTACAACAAAAATTTCAAGTGTACTTTGTATAGTCAAAATGAAAAATGTAACGAAATATACACGTTAACTTATGTCTCGTGATCTTAGAGACGCACTGTGGCTTATTTTAATTCCATTGTGTGAGAAGAGTAAAAGACAATAATATCCATTGGTTAAAACTATTATGAAAAAGCTTGTAAATATTTACAAGGTATGGAGAGGCTGATTTAACGTTTCCTTCCTACTGCGCTATAGCGGACAGAAAATATATGTTCAAGTTGTACCACAAATCAATCCAAATGTCAGAACAAGTTTGGATGTTGACGGCGCGGTCAATCGCGCGTTTTCCAAGTTAGACGTAAGCCGCACAAAATTGCTGTTATCTTCCGTGAGATTACATAAAAATACGGACCATCTTCGCCGCAGAGGGCGACGTGGAATGATGTGCGATAGAAATGGAAAGAGATGCGAGAACACGAGATGTGACTATTGCGTTTAAACGAGAGACCGACCTCGGTGACGCAAAAACTATAAGCTTCAGTTGCCGTCTTATCGCGTTCATATCAGCATTCTAAAGCAACAAATACGATCGTTGCAACTAGACCGCTGCATCGAAACGCGGAGAAGCAGAGTGACACAATCTGTTCGTTCGCACGTTGGAGTAAACAACATTCGAATAAATAACTTTTGCGTATTGTTAAGATAATCCGCGTGATTGATTAAGCCACGTTCCCTCTTGTTCCGCTATCGAATACGCGTTGAAAGAACGAAGCCAATGATCTTTTTTTTTTGTCTGTATTCCACAGTGAGCGATCAGCTTCTCGCGGACGGTGAGGTGAAGAAGTCAAGGATACCGCTAAACATCGATACCAACATGCTGAAAATCGGTTTCCTCGGCGGGGGAAAAATGGCTCAGGCGCTCGCCAAAGGTCTCATACGGGCGGGTAAATAGCTTTTCTTTACATAATATATATTTAAATGATATATAATCTTGCGTTTAACATTAGTATACAGGCTATCATTTATATTACGTTCATCAACGAAAGTTTACTGAAAACACATCTTAAACTGCTTCTCTTATTTTCTTTTTTTCATGAGACTTTTCTCATTCTACAGGTTTAAGCAAAGGCGAAATGATGCTGGCCAGTTGCCTTCCGACCGACACTGGGAGCATTGAGACTTTTAAGGTGAGATAATTAAGTACGATATCACGTAAGGAAGGAAAATCTCGATGTGATAGACCGAAGGGCGCTTCGTTTGTTTGTAACATATTGCTTGATAAGAATGCCGCCGGTGATAAGTGCCGTGCGTTCTCGTTGTGATGAATCGGCGATAATAATCGCCGTGATGTAAATTCTTTGTGATATCTCTAATATGAAAAACATTTAATAAAGAGAAAAGGTATTCACGTTTCATATCGCACAATATTTTGTGAAGCTTTGGAGCTGGGAGATTAACTTCATAAAATATTTCAAGTTATTATGTGTTAAATATTGATATGATAAACTATAGTTGTCGTGCTTTTAACTGACCAAGATTCTTAATAGAATGGCTTCTTCATTTCTCGACATTTGTTTAATAAATCATCGCGATAAGATATAGTTTATAACACTGCGTGCGCATCTGTCGCATGCTTGTCGATGGATGCATCTCGTGATCGTGTGACATTTTCAAACATTTCGTATTTATGTTGTCATATGCGTGAGTTTTAGACGTGCGTCTACGTACTACAAGTTCTGTCTGTATTTATTTCGACGATATTAAACATACTAGATATGTACGAAAGATTATGTAGGACAGGATTATGTAGTAGAAGCTCATATTTCAATAAATAAAGATGCCATTTATGTCTCAAGATTAATGTCAAGGTAAAAATAGTAGATACGTATACGAAAAAATAATGTTTAATTAAATTTTGATAAATAAATTTTCACGTTTCGGATGGTATAGGTATCGCGCAGTCAATCATGTCCGTGTGGTGTATCAAAAACATATATATCTACGTAATTCAACGTTTTTAGGAAATGAAATCAAATACTGTTTTTACGAATGTACCTGTCATCGATCACGGCGACGTGCTAATCCTTTCGGTAAAGCCGCAAGTTGTACCGAAAGTTTTGCCAGAGTTCAGGATACACGACAACAAGAAGTTACTCATTTCCATCGCCATGGGCGTCTCTCTGGCGTCGTTAGAAAAGGTAACACATCTCTGTCAGACGTCGTTGTTGCCCACCGTGTAAGCTGTTTATAAAGAAAAAGAAGAACACGGCGTTATTATACGAGAGAACAAATATTTTCAGGCACTGCCAAAAGAAACACCAGTGATAAGAGTAATGCCAAATACACCTGCGTTAGTTGGTTGCGGCGCTACAGTGTTTGCACGCGGAAAATACGCAAGTGACAAGGATGCCGAGATCACGGAGAAGCTATTTTCCGCCGTAGGCATCTGCGAAGAAGTCCCGGAAACGTTCATCGATCCAGTAACCGCCTTGGCCGGTTCCGGTCCTGCCTATGTTAGTAAACGTTCCACGTCCACTAGTTTTGCGTGAACACGCTGTAATAAAGTTTTTATATAAAAAAAAGTACGTATATTATAACTAAACTAAATCTGGAAAATAGGGAAACGAAAGACAATATTTGTACAGGTTTTTTGTTGCACGTTACACGTCACATACGTGTGCTTCGTCGTCGTGCCAACCTTTCTTTTATTTTTTACGTACCAAGCCTCTTTTCATATTTTAAAATAATAGACTAGTCGTGTTAACGTCAAGTGGAAATTTTTTTTAGATATATATGGTAATCGAAGCGATGGCCGATGGTGGAGTCAAAATGGGACTTACTAGGCCCATTGCATATAAACTCGCGGCGCAAACTGTCCTAGGTGCTGGTACCATGGTGCTGGAGACGAAGCTTCATCCAGGACAGCTTAAAGACGACGTGTCTTCGCCGGCAGGTCAGACACTACATGTACGAAAATAAAATCCTTATTTTTCTTCAACCAATATACATCTTTCTCTCAACTTTCTTGCAGGCTCCACCATAACTGGTGTTCATCAATTAGAGAAACATGGCTTAAGATCGGCGATAATCACGGCTGTAGAGGCGGCGACGCTTCGATGTAAAGAAGTCAGCTCGCAGACAGAGAAAAATTAGTAGTAACACGTATTGTTGTTATGTTATATTTACATCACGTTTTAAGGACGATATGTAAACGTGGAGACGATATCCATCCATAGAGTTAAATAAGGCAGGATACGTATATCTGGAGACAACCCTTAACTACATTTTAGGACGATCATAGAAATATTCTTGTTAGTGACTTGCTCTGTTATACGTAACACACGCGATATGATACGGACTTTGTGATACGTTTAACGTTCAACGAATATCGTTATTACGTATTAAACTGTAGTTGCAGTTTTACTGCTGCTGGTCTCTCTAAAAGTATGGTATAATATCGATAGAAACTTTTGTAAATAATTATTTGGTAAATAATTATTTTAAGCAGCGTTTTTTAATTATTGGCAAATAATTAAAAATCTATTTTTCATGGGACATGTAGAACGTGACAATATAGATCTGGTATTAAAATAATGATAACAACGTTAAACGCGTTTATACTCACACGCAGTTTATGCTGTTTTTATATGATTACAAATACGTTGATTTTTTGTTGCATATATTTTGATAATATATTATTTGTTGATGTATGTATCATATAGAAACATTATTTGACGTATGTGACATTCTGTTTATTCTTTTAATAATCTTTACAGTAAAAACTCTTGATATAACGTATTAAAACATAAAATTCAAGTTTACTAGATAAAAAAAGTGTACTTTTCGTAATGTATCACACACTTGTGCATATTCATGGGCGCCGTTAGTGGCAATATGTACATATACAAATATATGACACGTTTGAGTAACGTAATGTTTAACCATGTGTATAACCTGAAACGTCCAACAACGTAAACTTTGAACTGTACATTTTTTATTTTTTATTTATGTACGTATTTTTTTAGTTTCCAAAGTCTTTTAAAAAATTTATAGCCAACTGCACCAGTGATATTATTACATTATTTAATGTTTTTTACGTGTAATGTCAAACAATATCAAGTATAAAATTCCCAAATGTGTTAATAAATCTATAACGTATGTTGAACGTTGTGTCGCTTTGTACGCAGCAATATGAAAACTTGGCTACATTTCACATTTCAATATAACCAACAACGTCATTTCTCGCATTCTTTTACATCTCTGTGTCAGCTAACATTTGACAGGACGTTCTTCCCCTTAGTTTGTGCACATTTAAATCCGAGCGTGAACTCGGTCTTAAACATTTCCCTATAGTAACTTTCCTTCACTATCTCACTTTCAAAAACACCCTCCTGTTTGCACTTGAACACGTAGGATTTATGCATCGTAGATATGTTTAGATAAGAGTCCAAGTAATATTTACCACTGTGATTTTTAAGATCCGTCGGTTTCTCGGTCGGGAACGATCCAATATGTTCGCGCACTCGCTCTTCTTAGTTTTCGGCGCGTGTGCCTGCCTCTTTGATCCGGTCCGATACGACCATCCGCTGACATTCGTTTCTTCTTCATCACATGCCGCACAAACTTGTCAGATACCGCAAACGTGCTGAGAAACATGGGCTTACACACGGTAATGACGTTATCCTTCGAAAGAAGAGATAAAGTGAAAGTCACATGCCGATATCTCGATGGAGAACGCTCCAACTGAATGTTGCGCAAACGAGTGCGTTGTTTCGGAGATTCTTTGACGCACATGGCGATATGCTGCTTTCGCTGTTGCCACATACAAGTCCTCCAAAAGGCCTTGTGCACGTCTTCGCGTTCCTTCTCGTCTATCTTGTCTGCGCAGCGCATGCGACAAACACAGGGGTGTCCCATCTTTTTAGCTGGCACTCGTTTGCCTGGAAAACGTGACGCGTCACCTTTTGTTATACATTCTAACTCAACTGCGTCTCGTGTCTCTGTACCTACCTCCGACTCCGATGTACTCCTCCCCTTTTAATCTAGCATTTTTCTTCATGTTTACTTTCCAGTTTTCAGGCTGCTTTGTACGTTTCATAGATTCTTCGTGTTCCTTCGATGGTTTAAGCTTAATTGAACTTTCTGTGGAATCCTTATTACTTGGTGGATCTTGTGGCATACCCGCTGACTGTAACGTCGTTGTATTTCCTGTAATACGGCACGGAACGCTAACATGTGGACATGGAATACAAGTGTTAATCTATCTATAATAACCTGAAGTTATTACCTATTTTTCTCTGTGTGAGACCTATTTGGAATATTATAAAAATGTACATACCTATTAACAAACAAGTTTCTGCAAGTTCAGCCTCAGATTTCAATGTCAACGTTACATCTCCAGTAGCGGCGTCTCTCAACCATGTTTCGTAAACAACGTGCCATGCATTTGTCTGCACGTTGTTTAAATCACCCGTTGACACTAAAGATAAACAAAAGAAAATGACGTCAAGTGTCTGCAGATCGAAGACTACTCACTATTCACTACTCACTACCGAATGGTAGTGGAAAACCGAGTTGGAGTTTTACCCATGTTGTTAGCAGCACACTTGTAGAACACAGCCGAGTTTTGCGTCTCCTGCTGTCGACCGTCGACCGTCGACCGTCTGCGCTTCTCTCTGCCAACGTCAACCATTCTCGTAGCTTTGCGCGTTCCCCGTGATCTGACAAGAGTGACAAGTCCGTTTCTGCTTCATCTTCATTCTTACGGAAAGTGGCTTGCATCTTCCACAGTCACGGTTGGTCACGGTGGCGTCAAGCGAGCGTAGAGGTTAGGGCTAGATAAGGGTTCTGTTCCGTTCTGTTTTGTCACCGAATGTCACGGCCCACGGGACACGTTTTAGCGCTGAAGGATCCAAATCCAAGCGTTCGTGATCGCGAAAACGGCTGCACGTTGTTCGCGCCCGCGCCCGCGGACGTTTTTCTGCGTCGAGCAGCGTTCACTCGACGCAGACGAACGTATTTTGTTTCAAAGGGGATGTCGTGTTCGCAGAACAGCGGCACGACGAAATCATCAGAAATCATTCTAGAACGTATGTGTTTTGTCACGCGCGCGCGATACATTGTCATGTTGTCATCGTGAACCGTTGATTTCAGCCATTTTAGCGAGAGCTGGCGAGAGCGGCCGAACCAGGCCGAACGTGATTCGGCCGGATTCGGGCCTTCGGGCACCTTCGGTCGGCTTCGGGAGCTCGACCGCGACCCGCGACCGCCTCGTCGCCGCTCGAGTCTCGAGTCTCGACTCTCGAACGACTCGAACTCTCGTCTCGACTCGCTGCGCGTCGGTACGAGTCGTGGGTCGCGGCGAGACATTGTCGCTCGCGGCTCGTGTAAGTAATTTCTTTCTCGTGAACGAAACGAAACCCTTCGGTTACAGATTGTGTGTGAATATTCTGTTTCTTCTCGTGTCGACTACAACGAGTGGGATGACCGAAATGAACGAACGCCGAGTGCCGTACGTATCACCCGTTCCTCATCCCGGCTGTGATTTGACGGGTCTCCTAAAACGGCAATGTGCCGTGAATGCCGTGCGTGGCAAGTGACGCGTGCATGAGAGACAAATGATTCGAAGCGCGATATACCCGAATCCCGAATCTTTAATAGAATCGTTGTCTCGTGTGTCGCAGTGAAACGATAACCTCGGAAATCGTGTCGTACGTGTTTCTTGCCTTTGGAGCGAGCTTGCTCCAAAATGCGTACTGCGTACGAACGTCGAGAGTGCGAATTAAGTAACGAGCTCAAACGTGATCCGAGACCGAGGTAGATGCCGATGGATAACCAGGAGCCAGGAGAAACGTCGCCGGGTTGCCCCTGGTTGCCCCGAAGTGCGAGAACAAATATTTGTCGAAATATAACAGTTACGTGTTCGCGACGTGAATGAAATAACGCGCGGCGTGAAAGATGCAGACAGGCGAGACAGGCTTGGGTCCGTTTTTTTTCATTATCAAGTTGATCCGGAGATACGTGCAGAATATTGACATCGTCGATTAAATTTCTCTCGAATTATTAAGCTTTCTGCTGAACACGTAACAACGCAATATTAATTTATCATTTATTATTATACAGATGCTCGATGTTTCTCGTACATAAATAAGCATACGTATATTTACAACGAAATAATATATCATCATATATTGCTGCAGCACTGCATTTTTTCGTAATTATATACTGTGCGATAGATGCTAATATATGTATATTTAAAAATTAAAGACCCGTTTTCCTATTGGTCTTCTTACATTTGCTTCGGCGCGCTGTGATTGGTTCACCGCTTCGAGTTTCAAAATTTTGAGCCAATCGAGACAATCGAGGCACGCGAGGCACGCGAGGCAAGGCAAGCTCGTCATTACGTCGCGGTGGGCTGCAAAGTGCAAAGCGCGTCCGAGTCGCTCCGTAGTATTTCTCGTGCGTTGTCAAGTCGTTACCGTCCTAAAGTGAATTTCGCGCGCGAGGACGTATCGCGAGTGTTTTCTGCAAGTGTTGAACATTGTGTGCGATTGTTATTGTGCGTCTCAGTGTAATACCGACAAGCCGTCTCTGTGCGCGACGCGGCATCGCGGCATCGCGGCATCGGGCCGGCATATATACATATATGTAACGGATTTTGACACTTTGAACCCGTTTGACGCGCATCTATCCCATTTGCAACAAAAAATCCGCGTTTGGACACTGTTTATCTCAAATAATACAGTTTAGTGACACGAATGTGCGACAGTTTCTCAAGTGAACTCCGCGCGATCGTAGCGAACATTTCGGGAGAAACTCGTCGCGGTTCGGGATCAATCGAAATTTTCTCCGCCGTCATTTTCCGAGGCTCGCTCGATACTCGCGAGATTTTATCAGACGTGTGAATCCTCGGTAGTAAAAATAATATTTTCGATAGCATTTTGAGAAGGATACTTGGTGCAAACTTTGAGCCAGTTTGACTTGAACGCTCTTCGACATCGAAGCCCTGCCCCCTGGACGCATTTATACTCCGTCTGTAACAAAAAATCCGTCCTCAGATACTGTTTATCGTGCGTAATACGGTTCAGTGACGCGGAACACGGCGAGAGTCTCTCGAGTAAGCTTCGTGCAAACGTCCGGCTCGGGTACCGAGCGGCGACCGGCGACCGACAGATGTCGCCGCGTGCACCTCTTTCGCCGCCGCCGGCCGCGCGCGAGTGAGCTGGAGCCAGCTGGAGCAGAGCGGTCCACCGTCCACCATCTTGCGCGTGTGCGTCGCGGTCTCGCGGACTCTGTTGTGCGGCTGACGGCTGTGCGCGTCAGCGAGTTTTGACGTGAGTGACGTGACGCGTGATATGCGTGAACGTGAGGGTGCAGCGAGGATCTCGCGGAAGGCGCTCGACGGAGGTGACGCAACGTGACGCGTCGGCTCCGAGGGTGTGCGGCGGGTGCGGTGACGAGCGACCCACGGCCCACGGGACGACGATCGACTCCTGGGCAAGACCGTCTTCGGTGAGTCGCTTTTCTGTTTCCATAGTTTTATCACACGACGCCGCCGATCTTTCCTTTCCCGGAGCAACTTGCGACGAGAAACTGTCACGTGTCAGCCGAAAGCCCCCCCGCCTCGTATTTGTTACCTTAGTTAGGTAACCTAACTTTACCTGCCTGCTCGCATCAGCTGTGTGCGCGTCCGTGCACCTTGCTTCTCGATAATCTCGATGTGTCGCGTGTCGCGTAGCAGACGCCCGCGGCCGGTTGCGAGATCGATCGCATTTCGTAACTCCGTCAACTCCGACACGTGACAGTGCGTGACAGTGATCCTCGCTCGGGATGATCCGGGTGATATTTCTTTGCGGGGCGCCGGGATACGTATATTGCAGCCAAACGGGACGCTTACGTCAGCGCACGCATGATTAACGACGCTTGCACAGGCGCAAGCGAGGAAAATAAACGCACGTTTCACGAAGCAAAGTTGCGCGTGTCACTTGGACGCGCGACGTAGTCGGTAGCGAATGTCATTAAAGTGTAAGAACTCGACGTTCGATCATGTAAATGTCGTATATCGGCCCGATCGCCCGATGCCACTTTCATATTAGATCATCTTACACGTATAACGGGTGTACTGCAAAATTTCTTACACGCGATACACGGGTCAGGCAAGGAGAGCGTGAGACTACGTTTAAAGTTTAAAACACGACGCGGGACAAAGACGTTGACATCAGGACGTAGCTTTCGAATAAAGACAAGTCATACGTCACATTCACGTTCTTCGTCCTTTCCCGAAGCATGGCTTCTCCGTACTCTGCAGTTACGTCTTTCTCTTAACTGTTCGTGTCTACGTCCTTATTTTTTTTACTCGGTTCATATCATCACATGTCCAGGTATTAACGATTCTTTCTGAAGGTTGACGTATGAATCATTGGCGTAGCCTTCGATACGTGAAGAAAGACATCCATAGGTCGCTGGTTCAACGCCGGCTCGAAAAAACTTTTTTTTTCCTCATCCGCGATCTCTTTGGCAACGCGTCTCATTTTATCCAACTTCTCTCCGTGAATAGGAAACATTAACTAGATTTCACATATTTTTGTTAAAATAGGAACGTATTGAGAGCAAGTTTTATAAACTGCTTTTTTTACATTTTTCTTCTCTTTACATAAACTATTTGTAAAAAAAAAAAAGAAAGAAAAACTCCGTTGTTATCGTAGTTCTATGCCTGCCGATAGCAACTTTCAAAGGATTATGCGACATCAGTGTAACGTATAATCTCTGAATGGGTTGCGCCGGAAGTTGATCGGATTCTCAAACGTGTGGGTATCGCGTTAATGAAATCGTCTAACAAGTAACGACCGCGCATAACGCATCTCTCGGTGTATAAAGTGTGATCCCGGGATCTTTACTGTTATGCAAATCGAGAACGACGCGAACGGGAGCCGACCGAGGTGATTCACGAAAGCGTTACGCGACGCCGGGCCCGGTAACCCCCTAATTTTAATTAAGATCGCTATCAATTCCGCCCATTCTCAGCGTGCAGGCTGGTGGCTCCTTGTTTCCCTGCTCGTTTCACTAACCCACTTTGGCAGTTTCTTTGTTACGGCGTGCATGTATTCCCCGACAAGGACATCGAGGTATATTACCGGTGATGTAAAAGCTCCTTCATTTTCAACACGTAGGAACAAGCACGAATATCCGCGTGAATATCAAACTTGGCACTGATGCAACTGGTTTGGACGAAATGCTTTTGCAGCGGTAGATATATATTCGAGAATAGAACAACTCATTGTGGGCCGCAATAGCTTAATAGACGTTTAAAACATAGATATTTTAAATTTTCTTTTCTTTTAAACTTTTTTCAAATTATTTTATATTTTTCAAATTTGTTTTATTTCTTTTATATATAATCTTATCGTACACGTCTATCTAACTCGCTGTATTTTATTGTGCAGTGTACACATGTATGATGTGTATGATCATATAGCACGTTGCTTGTACAAAATTTATGACCGCCAATATACAATGTAGACTCGAATGTAGATATTCCAGAGCGAGTCTGGCTCATGAATGAAAGGGCACCTACATCTAGGTATTTTATCATGTAAATGTATATATAATATATAATGTACAATACGATTGAGATTGAGAGATTTCTTTCCCGTTGTGCAGTTATTCGCCACTCACTTTCTCAATATTGGTACCTCATGGCCAGAGAATGGCGACGTTTTCGATTAGACGAAAGGATCTCTGTCCCGAATCGATTGAGATTGTGTCCTTTTCATTCCGTTGTCGGATTCCGACGCGCACGCCGGTTCCCCAGTCGCATCCCAAACAAATATCAGGAGCGACCAATATTGATTCTGTCGTTCCTGCTTTTCTGCTTTCGGCGTTCCTTGCTCGTCACACATTTCCTGCAACAATGGCTCTGTCCCGAGAGGGAATTTATGTCCGCGTAATAAAATGCTGTAAAGGCTTAATCCACGTCTGCGGATATCTACGTGTTCGTGCGGTTTTAGTTGCTATAGGGATACCTCGTCTCGGAGATTTGTATGGTTCTTTAGACTCTACGTCTATTGTTTAACTAGAAAAGTGTAAGATTATACAACTATTACTTGATTAAATCATGTGCTTACGGTTTTCAAGTTTTACGGAGAAGAACAATCTTTTTAAACATTTCCAAGAGATTTTTACGTTGGCAAATATTCCCATGAAAAATAATCCGAGTTAAATCTTCATTAAAATATCGATGCTATATGATATCTTTTTCTTTACTTACTCGATAATTCATTTGAGATGGATCTAATACATACATATGTATACCTATAGAAGAAAAGTTTCTGTATAAATATTTACTTGAAGCACGCAAACGTTCGCGATATTATCGCGGTTAGGAGAGAAAGTTATTTTATTACGCAAAACTATACGAAATAAAACATTTCATCGGGTATAAGAGATGATGAATCTGCTGATGCTGCGAATATATCCGACCGCATTGCGCGGCGATGCAATGGAGGCTCAATTTCAATTTTCCGCCCTTCGGACACAGGCTGCAGCAGGTTGCAACTTGCTGCAGCATCGCGTAACTGCACGCGGCACTCGTGCCGATGCGCAGTGGTACGTACCGAGACAATATTCCGTGAGGTGGTCCTTCCCTAATGGCTAATAAACCAGTTCTCAATAAATTTTCTCTCTCTCTCTCTCTCTTCTTGTTCTCCTATTCTAATATCCACCCCCTTCATTCGCCCTACCTCGCGTCCGTGCGGACACTCGTCTCTAGTGGATATTCGGATCGGAATGGGCTAGCAGCCAATATCGAAGCGTTCTCCTGATAGTCGTAACCGTCGTCGTTCAGTTTCCGCACGCTGTCTCTTGTATTCGCTTTCGTTATCATTTTACGCGCGACATGGCGCGGCTGCCCCAATGAGACGGACGCTATTTCAACGCGATGCCCAGTAGACCCATGTTCGAAAAACGTGTTAGAAAACTGAAAAAATGTAGAGCGTGCTTTCTCGATGAAAATTTCATGGTTTTTAATATATACGTAAAGGCAGATATTACGCAAGAATATTACGCAAGAACGTCGGTTGCTGATAACGAGTATCGGAATGACGGCGTGACATCAGTTCTCGAATACAAATTGACAATCAGACGAACATTGTACCGTACCAAGGTACCGACGAACTGACTTCACAAGTTTCCTCGGCAGCTTCGTTCGCGTCGACATTCGTCTCCATTGAATATTCGCCTCGCTGTCGGAAACCAATATTGAACTTTCCGATTCCGATAACTGCATTCCACATCATGTATCCAAGTTTCTTGACCGGTTAATTAACCAAAAATGATTGGAGGGTTATTTGAATTTCATCGCGCGTTTTTATACATATAATTCTCGGATCTGCTAGAAACGTGTCTATCAGCTCAATCGAACATACAATATTTCTCAAACGATGAGAACGTACGTTAGCGATTGAAAATAAATCAGTTTATCTCCTACACTATAGAGTATTCGTTGTGCCGTTCCTCATCAGACATCTGATTTTGCATCATAGACAAGCCCACTTTAAATACCTCAGTGTTTTAAGTGCATGGTATCCCGTTATTTCTAACTTGAATGAAATTTGTATTCGTTGCACAAGATATATATGTAATAAGGTAAATATATCTATGTCTGGCATTTTTATTATTTTAGTCCTTAAATAAGTTTAAACGCGAATTAAAATCAAAGAATCAAAGATAAACATTTTTTTTGTATTATATTTTTATCTTTGATTTTAATTCACGTTATACTTTAGGTCTCAAGTGTCCTGGCACTGGTACATTTAGCTTAAACGGCGACGTTTCTGAGCTGACGGGAGCTTGGTTTCCTTTTTTAGATTTGTATTCGAGTAGATTCTCTTGAATACTAAATTATACAGAAAGTAACGTTATAAATTTTTACGCGAGAACGCGTAAATACACGAATGTACACGTCTACATTATTTTGTTATTTAACGTAGTAACTCGCATGAAACTATCAACTATATTAAATTAATAACTTCTATTTCCTCACACTTTCAGCTTGTTCGTCTCGATTATTTTTCAAAGTCGGTAGTAGTCAGTGTGTTTTATTACTTTTATTGAATCGCAAAGTTTTCGTGTAACACGGTATTAGAATTTTCTACGAATCCGACTCGTCTTGGGACACGTGGCTGGCCTACTTCATTTTCCTACTGCAGCAGTGTAGCAGGGTACCGCCCGGGGAAATACCTTCGGTATTTCGGGATCGAAATCTCGTCCGCGTCGACGCGCACTTTCGTTGGCGGCAATTTCTTCGTCACATTCCTCTTCCCTCTCTCTCTCTCTCTCTCTCTCTCTCTCTCTCTTTATTTTCTGTCGTTTCCTTCTTTTTCTATTCCGCTCACCCGCTGGTTTATGCTTCTTGTTTGACTATGACGTACGCTCGGATTCGCACTCCGGAATGGAATTGTTCCTGGTTTGAGAAATGTTTTTGATGGAGGGTACGGTTCGCGCCGATGAAAGAA